CACAGGAATATGCAGGATGTAGTTTGGCCTCAAAGGACACACTCCTGCACCTAGAAGTGGTCACACTAGATAAAAAATAGATTGCCGTTTCTCCTGCACATTCCAGCTCCCTCCTTATCGCAAGTTCACGAGCCCAGGTCATGTCCCTTCCACTGCATTACACATGCACACGTCTTCAACATAACACTGGAACGCACAGCCCAGAGGGAGTGTGGACGCTGGGAGCAATCTTATTACAGCACTCATTTTCTTGTAAAACATGGCTCACAGGTTGGCTAAAGAAGTTTTACAGGCGTACAGGTGTATTTTGAAAATGCGATGTGTCTGAAAAGCTTTGTTTTGTCACAATGTGTTCTACAGTTGTGTGTGTGTGTCTGTCAATCACCTTGGGGAGCTATGGCAGCTTTTGACCCACTCTACCATTGCGGCTCATATACTAACAGGGAGATGATAACAGTGACGCACAAAGCCCATCTTCTGTGTGTTAGTGCGGCTCCCTGCATGAGCGGCAGAGTGACGAAGAGACGGAGGAAGAAGAGAGACAGGGTCACGAGGCCCCAAGAATATCCACTTAAGTTTGCTGAAAATTGTTTAAAGCGCTCAAAGAAGCCACCTCATGCATCCGTCACCGTTCTGTTTTTCCAGCGCTGGCTGTGACTCAGACTCGTACTGCCTTTGTTTTTTTATTTCACCCTCAGCTGAGCAGAATTCCAGACTTCAGAGGCAGTCGCTTGATGATTGCTGACATTGAGAGAGCCCTGCTCAGTGACCCCTGTGACCCAGAGCCTTAAATCTCTGAACAAGAAAAAGAGAGAAGTAAAAAAAAAGAAAAGGAGAGGCAGTTTATGATATCGCACTTCAGTGAGCACCAGAGAAGAAAAAAATAAGTATCAATTTTACGACGGGCTCTAAATCAGGATGGGTTTGCAGAGACGACTTTATTGTTCAATCTGGCCGCCTGTTCTGGAGGTGTTAGCGAGGTTAGACAAGCGAGCGATGAGCGCGCCCACCTCGCCATAACAATAATCATCGAGCTAAGCCTGCAGCTCACGACCTGTAAATTGATTAAGGAGGGGATGATGACAGAAAAGATTCTCTGCGAACTTCTCCGAGGCGCTGTGCAGGGAATTTGCAGGCCTTCATTAGACGGACTGTCTGTCCAGACATGCTGAATCTAGAGAGGAGATGATGAGAGGGTGTGAGGGGGTAATGGGAAAACTCCAAACTCATTGGCGATGTTTATACGAGCTGTCTACCGCGAAGAGAAGGCCACGGCCCGCTTTGTCCTGAGATGAATAAAAAAATCATCTAGTCTGTCTGTTTCATTACGGGAAATCATTTCTCCCAAATCAGAGCAGATAAATCACTTAGAGAAAAAATGTGGGAAGGTGCATGTGTGTATGAGTGTGTTGAAAAGCGATTTGTGGATGTCTAATAAGGCGCGTGTGTGTGGCCTTTGTGTCCTGTGTTTTGTGTGTACAACACCCCCATGTTTGTGCATGTGTCTGTTTGTGTGACTGTCAGCCCGAGAGTCAACAGAAGCTCTGAAGGAGCGGATGGTTATTTCGGTATCGCGAGGTCTCGCCCGAGGAAGCATGATTAAGACGCTGAATCAGACTCCCCGGTCAAACATCGCAGCAGAATCATGCAACTTTAACTTCCTCCGACCCGTTGACACAAACAAGTTAGACATGACTCCATCCAACATTAATCAGCCCCTCCAGGAAACTCCGGGATGCAGAGGAGTGGGTTATTTTATGCGAGATAAACAGTTTCCATGCAAATATTGCAAGGTCCTGCAATTTCTTTACAGCACAAGTCATCATTTCAAGAACGACGAAGGAGGTCATGTTTTTAGGAATCATTCATTAATAAAAGTTACCCAATTTTAGAATGCCAAGTTAATTAGGCCTAACATTATTTAATCCACTCGTCACAATCCAAGTATGAATACAACACAATAATACATACTACTGCACATATTTATCAGCATATTATGGTTAGCAATTACAGGCTATTCTTCCAATACAAAAACTGGATAAGATTTATGATATATTTGAACTCAAACTGCTCAAATTTGACCCAACCACAATGGGAAGGTTAATGTTAATGTTAAAATATTGACACTGAACTGAGGAATATAAGACGAGGTGAACACAGCGTAGACTCGCTCTGTGGTGGAAATGGAATGAAAGGTCACAAGGATTTGCAAAAGGTCAGAATTTAAAACGAATAGGCCAGAATCAAATGAATATTTTTAGAAATACACTTATCCACTTTCTTGGTGTGAGTTAGGAAATCAATACTGATTTAATCTGTGTTTTAAATATAAAGTTGAAGTCATGACAGGGATAACTCAACAGCCTGGGATTGTCCACCAGCAGCATCTCAACTGCCTCTCACCCACACATCATTTTGTGAGCCTGATATACTGTATGCAGCTTATATATAAAACGGTTTTGCACAAGTGATTTTCATTTCAAAGTGTTTTGAGTTTGGATCTGATAAGAACCTGGACAAATGAGAAATCTGTTGTGTGATAATGAATATAAAGTCTTGATTTTGACGAGCTATTATGCAGATTTCATTCTTTAGACAGAGCCAAGTTCGATGTCTCCCAATATTTATGAAAGAGTTAATAAATAAAATATTTATGATAGACACATCACCCCTTTTCTCAGGGGAAAATACCAGAACTAGTGATAACAGTGAGATCGTGTAGAACAGGATTATAAAGCAGAGACAAAAATGAACCATGAATCAACATCCAGAGAAGGTGGTTGCCTTGGTGACTAAATAGAGATAAATGAATGTACAATTAGAAACTCTCCTGTCATTTCACTTACTCCAATTATTCACTCATTTGTTACCTCCACCAACGAGGCTACGGTTTCATCTGCATTTGTTTAATAGCAGGATTTCAGCACATTGGTGGACGGACTTCACATGCATCAGAGAAGAACCCATTCAATTTAGATGTGGATCTGGATCAGGGGGTAGAACTAGAAATGTTTTTCAGTTTCTTGTGGAAAAGGGTGTTTTGTGACATTTTTACCAATTTCCCAGAGAATATTTTGTGGCTCTAGGAGAAAAAAAACTGGCATTTTCATTAAGGGAATTGATATCTATGAGTGTGCACAATGTGGTTCAGCTTAAATGAATCTAAGGGGACTGTTGGACTGTTGGCTATTCTAGATTTATACATTCTTGCTTTTGTTCATCCCAGTCACCTATTCAACTTACACACACACACGCACACGCGCACACGCACGCACACACACACGCACGCCAATCAGTCAATTGCATCACTAACCTGAGCTGCACTTGGATCATAATGCCTCCTGCTGACTGACACCAACATCTGAATGAACACTTCTGCCCTCATCCTTTTATTCCTTAAAGCTACACTTGTGAGCAAAGACTTTAAGATCGCTAAGTACTCACACTCTAATGCATCAACAGCTATTTCCCTCTTTCATTAAGCACCCTTAAACCTTCCTCTTATTGAGCTCATATGAAGTACTCACTACACACGGCCATTCAAAGCTGTATTAACTGGGGCCATAGATGAAGTTTCAAAACAACATTTGTGACATTTTTTTTAAACTGTCTCTACAGGCTGATCTCACCTCAGGCACTGAACTGAGGATTCCTAATTTTATCTTTTACCTACAGATGCGTTCACTTTGATTCCCTGTTATCCCTGCACCAAAGGGCACTACTTTTTTCTCTCAAGAAACAGAAACAACAGGCTTGGCTCCATTTTTTGTAATAACCCTGGGGATGTTGTGGTGCGCTCTAACAGTTGATTTCTAGTGACACTGAGCCACGGGAGCAGAGAAACGAGGCGGGTGGCTGAATAGGAGCGTGTTACTATTTTTCATATGGAATAGTTCACTCCCAAATTCAAGTCAATCTACCGCACCTGCATCAGTGAAAATTCAGTGGAGACATAAGACGTTATTGTGTCCCTGTGGTCTCACATCAGCCTCCTGATTTTGGTTTTGCTCACAGATATGTGAGCTCACAGCCCACACATGTTAACATTCATTGCCAAATAACGCCCAAATCACAAATCCCTTAGCAGCTTGTGCAACATAATACAATTGAGTCAGGCCCAGAGTGCACAAATTAGACTTATTACACTGTACAAGCTGGTTTGAAAAATGAAAAAATTTGACATTTAATTCTCAAAAAAAAATAAAAAATACTGTTGCCCTGACAACTTCATTAGCTTAGGAAATAGCTGACATGAAAATAAAGGGAATAACTCACTTTTTGGTGATCTTCCTGAGGATTCAACACATGACCACATACTGTGTAATACGCAGTGGAAGGAACATGGAGATCATTTACTTGAAACGTGATAGTTCACAGGACCCAAAGTTGAGCTTTTAATCCAAAAGAAAGGCTTTCACAATTGCATTACGTTGCCCAAGCTAAAAATAGAGAAAATGTAGGATCCTTCCGACATCAGGGAACAAGAGCAGGACTCAACAGACCATCTGACAAAGACGACACAGATTAAACACACAAAGGTGTCAGTGATAATTGGGTACAGGTGAAACACGTGAGTTCAGGAGAGATAATCAGTGTGTCTCAATCCAGGGGTCGCATCCTTCAGAGGCTGCATTTGAACACTGATTACGTCACAGTGGCACAACTAGGCTGTTTTAAAGCTCATGCAAATGCGTCCTTCAATCCCCAAGCAATGACGGATCCAATATAATAATAATATGTTTATTTATTTATAAAGAACTTCTAAAAAACTAAGTTACAATGAGCTTCACAAAAAATACACAAGTAAAATAGATTTGAAAAAACACAAAAAGCCCCACATCAAAACAAATCTTAAATGAATAGATAAAAGCAAGAAAACATTAAGATGTAGTACCACTAGAGTACTACTCAAAACAATAATACAAACCAGAATTATGTAAAATTAGGGAACTGCTGTAAAATAAAATTATGTTTTAGGATTTAAATTAAAGTTCCAGAGCCTCTGAGCTCTTATTTCATAAGCTCCGTCCCCGTAGTCTTTAGCCGAGAATCTGGAACAGTTAAAAGGCTCATGCCAAAGGATCTCAAAGTGCGAGCAGGGTTGTATGAGGATAAAAGATTTACTGAGGACTCAGACCATTAAGAACCTTTAGTAAGCTATAAAAAGAACCTTAAATGGAATCTAAAATGTACATATGTGCTCTATAAATAAACTGACTTCCCGATCTCAAATCTGTTCTCCAATTAAGCTGCACCAGTTCTTGTCATGTATTGCTGCTTCGTTTCTTCCTCTGCAAGAAAAAAAAAAACACAAGGACATCGAGAATATTGTGAAAAACACACACACAGTACAGAAACAGGCCTGAGCACAGCTGACCCTGCACATGCCCCTTTTCTCCGCCTTTCACACCACACCGGCCAATGAAAGTGGAGGAAAACAAAAAGCAATGCAGAGCAGCCAGGCATCTCCTCCACTTAAGGACTGTATTAACCTTTCCCCAGATGTCAGCATATAATAGGTGGAACCGCGTGCTGCACACAGGCATTTGTCTTGGGTAAGGTGCAGGGGTCTTCGTGCTAAATGCCACCAGTAATGAAGCAGCTCCCTGTGTGTGGCCGTGCTTCCTCTAATCTAATTTTATATCCCTCTGGAGTATATGTATGAAAATATGTGTGCATGTGTTCAGGAGGAAGTGGTAAGACAACTGTGTGGGATTCTGTTTTTCCTGAAGGAGTTTGGATGCATAGTGAATATTAATGTGGGTCATCAGTGTGTGAGCTGCTTCATCACCACTTTGTACTGTATACTGTAATCCCCTTTGTTAACATGTTACTTTCTGAACTTCTGTGCTATTACTAATTTCTCATTCTTGAATTTTATTTTATTTTCCCTTTTTAAAAGGGAAACCTACTGATTCGCTAACCACCAACAGGCCAAAGCAAAACATACAGCGCACAAAGCCCCCCCCCCCAGAGGAGCTTAACATTATGAAGCACTGTTTTTATTGTTCTTTAAAATCTAAATCTCTCAACATTTATCTATGTGAACTTTATCTTTCTATCAAATTCTATACGGACCAGGAGCTATTATTACATTTTTAAACAGCGTTTCAATTTTAACCTGCGCAGCTTTTTTCAAGGTAGAGTTCACTTTCTCTTCTTTACTCTCACTAAAGAAGAGAAAGTGAGGTGGTGAAGCAGGGAACAAAGAGTGAAGGAGTGTTGAAGCTGATTAGTTGAAAGCTAATATTTGTTGCGATATATGTGAAATGTAGTTAAGAAGAAACTCAAACTGCAGCTTTTTATTTCTTTTTTCTAAAATTAAGCTTTATATTAAGATGACTTTCTCCTTTTTTCCCCTTTTGCTGGAAACGAGAAAAGTATTTCAGTTTTTGACTTCATACAGACATTTATACTTAAAGTACTAGGCTACTTCAAAATATATGGCACTGAAGCGTAACGGATGTTCGACCGAGTCAAGAATGTGTTGTCTGCCAGTTTGCTTCAGCTGGTCCGGTGGACAGTTGATAGGCAAAGGGGAAAGACCATTGAATGTAAAAAATATATAGTATTATAGTAACATAGTTTCTCAGCGCAACAGTGAAAAGAGCACACACATCAATCATTAGAAAAGATGTTATTGTATGAAGACATTCACTTCGGATATAATAAAAGCAATCGAGTATGAATTTTCTTTGCAGCGTTCTCAGATCCAGCGTTTAGCAGCCATTAGACAAACTGCCATCACCACTCAGCCGTGGTAGCGGCCACTTGGGATGAACATACACTGAATGCATTTTTTATAAGCTGAGCTGTGTCAAGCATGCAGAACACCCTGGGAGGTTGGAGGGTTTGAGCACAAAATCAAAGGCGTATGATTCTGGGGTAATTTCTTGATGGCAATCACAGTTGTGTTTACACGGTTTGATATAAAAGAGAGAAAGGATTTAACACACATGAGAGATTTAACATGCAAGAGCCGCCCACTTTTATCTTCGAAGCAATACATTGCATCATTCTGACGCGTGTTACATGTGATATGTGACATGTGGATGAATGTTGCCTCACATTTTCGTGACGAGCGTATCCCAGGGACCCGCAGCACAACAGTAAGAATATATCTGGGGAGGGTCTCTCCTCTCGCTGTCCTCCCTGGTTGCTAAGCTCCACTGACCAGCCGGAGCAGAGGAGAGGACCCTGTGGGCCTGAACACCACACTGCACCAACACAATGCTGCATCACACAAGCAGGACCTGCCCCAGAGCTACTGCAAGTATTCCATTACAGTAAAGTTTCATAACATCTCATGAAGGGTCAAAACAACTAAAGTGACCAGAAATTACGTAGCACAACTTAAAAAATTATCAATGACCGTCCTTTGATTTGCATCACAGAGACGGAGTATTGTCCGTGGATTGAAGGCACAGCCTTATATTTATTTTTAAATATTATTATTATTACATTCCTTGTCGCTATTGTCTATTTTTGTACTTCTGTGATTTTCTTTGTACCTCTGACCAAATTAATTAAAATGTTTAAGTAATTAATAATGTGCGGTTAATTCTAAAGGCTGGGTGAGAATGTAAAGTTGTAAAAAATTAAAATCCAGCAACAATAAAAAAACGCACATTTAAAATGACCTGAAAAATGCAATAGAGGAACCATTTGGAACAACATTTGCTTAATGAAAAAAAATAAACAGATCTAAAAAGCACAGCCATGGTATGCTAACTACTTTATTCACCCTCTGGGAAATACCTCAGATATCCATTAGCTCACACAAAAGACAAAGATCCGATTGATCAAATAAATAAATAAATAAATAAATAAATAGAAGAGGCACAATGATAACAGTGTGAGACTCAGCAATGCCCGGAGCAAAATGCAAATGCTACCATATAGCAAAATGTTGACATTGAGTAGGTATGTGTAGCTTAGCATTCTGGCAAGCTAGCCTCATATTTGTTAATTGCTACTAAACACAATGTACATGTAAATAAAATAGCTGCTAAATCAAATAAATGAAACACAACTCTAATCATTTTAACGCAGAGGTTATTGCATCTGCCTGCACAACAATAACGAACTGAAGATGTAACAATTAAAATGTCGATGGTTAACTCGACTCAATGAAAGACAATGCAATTTTCTTGAGTAACAAGATCTGTTTGTTTGTTTATCAGATAATACAAGAAGAAAAAAAGCATTGTGCAATTCTTGAAAAGGGCACAGCATGACAAGAGACAGTGAGAAGAAAGGACGTAATCATCAGTGTCTCAATACAAGACTTCATGTGATATCACTGTACAGTCAGAGAACGTACTGCACGTGGAGAAATGTGGCAGATTGGAGAGTTCACTGTCGGGGCAGCAAACACTGTCAGTTCAACAGCACAGCACAGGAAGCACGGAGAGGCCACAGACCAGCAACGCCAACCCAGGAACCGATCTCCCCTCAGACTCCTCTCTTACCTCTGGCGTCTCAGAGGGGAAAGTGTCTCAGCTCATTTGGTCAGAGTTGAACAGTTAATCTGAATCTGCCTTCAGCAACATTATTTTTTTATGTGTGGTTTACTGGACAGAAGGATAAGTCTTCCATATTTGATTGCACTCTGTTGAGATCTTTTTTCTACAAATTGCTTGACTGTCAGGCTTGTTATGATGATAAATACTAATGAAACTGATCAATGAACCAATGGATCAAATAAAAAATGGATTAAAAACATTTGATGGTGAGATTCATTTCTAAAACAAGTGTTTTTAAGTGGGGGTTTACTCATTTACTTGTCTGCAGGAAAATTTTAGGATGACTTTATGTTGCACACTTCATTTGTTTGGCATTTTGGTCATAAATACTGCACTGATAAAACTGACTGTGTCATTGCCGCCACATCGTCTCCCATGCAGCCAGAAGCCTTGACAAGCACACCTGTCTGTAGCTGGCTACAGGCCCCCATCAGAGATCCCCTCAGCTTGACGAGCCCAAGTCTTTAGGTGTGTTCGATTTGATGTGGCGCTGTGCAGAGCTGACTTAACGTGATGCATGCTGGTCCTTACACAATGCATGCTGACTTCATCCAGCGCTGAAAAATGTCACCAGGTCACATGATCCAGCTGCAGCACCAACAGAATTTGTGAAATATTCACCTGACTTGCTTGCACTAATGATCTACTCCTATGTTTTGCTAGCATAATAAAAGATCATTTCAATGATGGTCTCGTGTTCTCCACAAGGTCGGAGGTTTGATCCCAGTCTTCCCTGTCTGCATGCAAAAGTGTCCTTGGGCAAGATGCTGAACCCTGAATGGCCTCTCATAGAAAAGAAAAGGTGCTGCCCATAGATGCACTGTATGAATGTGTGAATGTGTGAATGTACTGTAAAGTGCCTTGAATCAAGACTAGAAAATTTACCATTTTTCTCATTGTGCTGCTTGTGGTTCACAGCAAAAATACATAATGAAAATGAGTTTAGATGTTGAATATGTCACACACATTAATATTTGCTTCCTTGACCCATTTTAAAGTCAAAGCGGTTCGCGTTTCCGTTTTATTGCTATTGCAGGACAGAAAATGCTTCATAGCGTAGAGTCCTGGCATTTAGTTGAGTACATAAGCCTATTTTTATTCAATGAAATACAGAAGTCATATCAGAAACCCACGTAGCCCTGCAGCAGACACCAAACGCCTGTGAGACGCAGCAGCTCAGCAATGCAGCCGCAACACGCTGTGCACGCTGCCAGTGCTGCCCAGGGCGAGAGCTGTTCCACTATTCAGTCAGTGCATGATCTCTGACCTTGAGCTAAACCAGCCCGGTAAAGTCCCGACACGCCCTTCAGTATATGCTGTGGGTGTGATAACAACCGGGGAGCAGAGGCCTCACCAGCTCAAACGCAGTGAAATCCTGACAGGGAAAGACATGAATCCTCGCTCCAGTCTCTCAGCAGCTTCCATCAAGGTGAGAAAGGCAACAAACTCCCTCAGCTGCATCGGTGGAGCGGCTCTGTGACCAGCAGCGCAGGACCGGTGCTGCACAGGGGCAGCTCACAGCCGTGTGTGTGTGTAACGGCATTTTGCACACTGCTGCTGCTGGGGAAGAGAAACTGCGCTCACACAATCTAATATTCGGGAGGAAGAAGCGAAAGAAAAACAAGTTGATTCTCCTTCAACTGCAACGCTGTCCATTATCCCTGTCCTGTGGCAACGGAAGGCGAAGCCAGCTGGCTGGAAACCTCAACAATAAACAAACACAACGTTGTCTGGTTTGAACAAACAACCTGTAGTTTCCCCAGAGC